CTCCCACATAAGAAAGTAAGAATGTATTACCCATCTTTGAAGGTTCCAGAGAACTATTCACGATAGTGAAATAATGGGAGCTATCCGTAATAGAAGATATGGCAACAAAATTTGATATTGAAAAGTTCAATGGGAGAAATTTCTCATTGTGGAAATTAAAGATGAAGATCATCCTAAGGAAAGACGTTTGTCTAGCAGCTATCAGTGAAAGGCCGGTAGTTTTCAAAGATGACAACAAATGGATCGAAATGAACATGAATATTATGACAAACTTTCATCTAGCATTAACAGATAAAGTATTGTCAAGCTTCGAGGAGAAGAAGACAACTAGAATGATATGGGATCATCTCACCAAATTGTATACTGATGGAGTAAAGGGGTATCGCTTGAGGGATCCCACTGCCCGCAAAGTGATCATCAGCAGGGATGTTATCTTTGTAGAAGATAAACTACAAAGAAAATAAGAAGATGGTAGCGCTGAAAAGTCAAAGACTACACAGATACATGTGGAAAAAGAGTTTGAACAAGGAGATTCTTCTGAAGCAAAACCAGCACATGATGAACAAAAACCATAGAGTTCTGAAGCTCCAATAACTAGTTAATCAGATCGTGTGAAAAGACGTCCCAATTGGCACTCAAATTATGTTATAGAATGAAATATTTCATATTGTCTTTTAACAGAGGACGGTGAGCCATCAACATACCAGGAGACAATAAACAACTCAGATGCTTCACTGTGGATGATGGCGATGCAAAAAAAATTGAAGCCTTTCATAAAAATAATACATGGGACCTTGTGCCACTACTACAAGGAAGGAAGCCAATTGGTAACAAATTGGTTTTCAAAATCAAGCGAAATGGTAACGATCAAGTTGAGAGGTATCGTGCAAGACTGGTGGTCAAAGGATATGCTCAAAAAGAAGGTATTGATTTTAATGAAAATTTTTCTCCTGTGGTTCGACTAACAACAATTTGAGTAGTCTTGGCAATGTGTGCTACATTGAATTTACATCTACAGTAGCTAGATGTTAAAACAACTTTTCTTTATGGAAATCTTGAAGAAGAGATTTATATGCTCAAGCCTGAAGGTTTTGAAGAAAAAGAAAAGAATAACTTGGTTTGCAAGTTGAACAAATCTTTGTACGGTCTAAAGCAGGTGCTGAGGTGTTGGTATAAGAGATTTGATTCCTTCATTATGTGCTTTGGATACAACAAACTTAACGCAAACCCTTGTGCTTATTTCAAGAGGTTTGGTGATAACGATTTTTGTTATATTGTTGTTGTATGTGGATGACATATTGGTTGCAGGACCCAACAAAGATCATATTGAAGAATTGAAGGCACAACTGGCTAGGGAATTTGAAATGAAGGACTTGGGATCAGCAAACAAGATCCTAGGGATGCAAATGCACCAAGACATAAGTAATATGAAGATTTGGCTTTCACAAAAGAATTACTTGAAGAAGATCTTGTCAAGATTCAACATGCAAGATTGTAAGCCAATTTCTACCCCTCTTCCTATTAACTTCAAATTATCCTCCAGTATGAGTCCTAGCAGTCAAGAAGATAGGATGAAGATGTCTCGAGTGTCGTATGCATCGGCAGTGGGAAGTTTAATGTTCGCTATGATATCCACAAGACCAGACATTGCACAAGCAGTGGGAGTGGTTAGTCAGTATATGGCGAATCCAGGCAAAGAGCATTGGAATATAGTAAAGAGGATCCTGAGATACATCAAATGGACCTCAAATGTTGCATTATGTTATGGAGGATCAAACTTACTAATCAATGGGTATGTCGATTCTGACTATGAAGGGGATTTGGATAAAAGAAAATCTACTACATGATATGTGTTCAAAGTTGCTGGTGGAGCTGTAAGCTGGGTTTCAAAATTGCAGTCAGTTGTGGCTACATCCACAATAGAAGCAGAATATGTAGCAGCTACACAAGCCAGTAAATAAGCAATATGGTTGAAGATGCTATTGGAGGAGCTTGGGCACAATCAAGAGTATGTCTCTCTGTTTTGTGACAGTCAAAGCGCCTTGTATCTAGCAAAGAATCCAGTATTTCATTCAAGGACAAAGCACATACGAGTTCAATACCATTTCATTCGTGAAAAGGTGGAAGAAGGGACGGTAGATATGCAGAAAATCCATACCAAAGACAACATAGCAGATTTCATGACGAAGGCAATCATTGCTGATAAATTTACTTGGTGTCGATCATCTTGTGGCCTGTCAGAGACATAAACAACATAAATGGTACAAGATAGAAAGAATGGTGTGAAGATATGATTGTTCCAATCAAATCTTCAAGTGAGAGATTGTTGAAAGTTGCCATGCAAGCACCGAAAGTTGCCAAGCAAGTTGGCATAAATTGTTGGGAAAAAAATTAATTTGTCAACAATTGGTTCACCGAATGGTGTAGTCAAAAAGCAGCTGAAATTGTTGAAATTCACGGTATGATAAAATTGGTAAATTAGTCCATGTACTTTAGGTTATTTACAATATTAATCCTTAAGATTCAACTATAAATACTCTAACTCATATAGCTTCAAAACCATCCTAAATCATTCTAACTTTCTCTCAATACTAGATAATTTAGAGAGTTTCTTGAGAGTTGTTTTCTCCTTTTTTATCAAGAGAGAATTGTCATTGTTTTCTCCTTGTTAGATCGAGAGAAGTTGTAATTCCTATTTTCTCATAGTGAAATTCTTCTACCTTTGCCCGTAGTTTTTACCTTGTATTATTTAGGAGTTTTCCACATAAAATTTGTATCTTCTTTATCTTCATTTTTATTTTCTTAAATTATCCGTTACGATTTTCTCTATCAGATAGTCGTATTCCGCAACATATAACGGATCCGAACTTTCCAGTTACGAGACAATAATGAGTCAATACACGGATTGTAATCGAGGAGGAGCCTTGGCCGTTTGAAGCTCGATTCATCGCCAAGAGAGCTTCTTTACTACCGGTTTCAGCAATAATTTCTGGAAATTCTTTGTCCAAGCAAGGTTGAGGCCCTCATAGATGCCCCACAATTCAGCATTAAGGGTAGAGAATTTTCCGATTGCTTTGGAAAAACCCGATATCCACTCTCCAGGCAAGACCGAAGCGTACCGCCACACACGGCCGGCCCCGAAATTTCATGTCTAGCATCGTTCGTGTTTAGCTTTACCCACTGTGAAGGAGGAGATGTCCATTTCCACGATCTGTCCTCACGATCAACACTACCAACCAAGTGAAGACCCCTCGACTCTATAGCAATGATAGCTTCTCAAACCAATCTTTTATTTTTGAGGATAAACTAATTTCTTTTTCTATGAATTTTTTTTATTAATTATGAAATGAATCTGATTAATTCATTCATGATAACATTTAAAAGACTTATATTTATTTTTAACATAAAATTAAGGAAATCAAGATGATTACGGGGGAAATTTCATGTACTAATTTTTTTTTCACTAAGTAGAGAGATATTATATATCTAAGATAAATAGTTAGATTCGAATCTATATAAAATAAGATAAGATAACGAAAATACTCTTGATCACTCAATCAATTAATAAATTTTAGAAGAAAATATAAAGGATTGAACCTAAGACATAATCTCAATTAAAATAAACATTTAACCATATTTTAACTTCATTTTGTAAATTATTATGAAAGTTAAATAAATAACAAACAAAAGTTATTTAGTCAATTGAATTTGTAGCACAATAAAAGCAAGCAATCAAAGATACGAAAATTAATACGATAGATGAGTACCGCTAACGATAAGCACCATTAATTTAATTTATAAAAATTAAAATTCTAAAGGACTCAACGTATAATTATAAATTAATTAAAATATAAAAGTAAATTATTTAAACAAAAAATATTTAGGGTTTTTTTTTTAATTTAGAGGTTGGTATTTGGTCTAATTATTATTAAAAAAAGATTATGAAAATAATATAATTAATATTTTATTTTAAATAATTTATATTTAAATTTTTAATTAATTTATACTTATACATTAAGTAATTTAGAATTTAAATTTTTTATAATTAAATTAACGGTGCTCAACAATGTTCCACGTTAGTGTTGCTCGTGAAGCGTGGCAGACTCGTCCCAAAAGATATTACTATTTGATATTCAATAATAAGATAATTCAATAAGATAAAATATTAAATCTTTTAAACAATATTAAAAATTTAAATACTGACGATTGTGATTGGAATAAATTAAGTTAATCAGATTGTCTTATATTATACCTCTATAATAAAACATAATGTTGAAACATGTTTAATAACTTTTTTAATAAATACCAAAAAATAAAATGCCGGACCCACCAACAACCGGGATAGATATTAAAGGTCACGGTAGCTTTATTGCTAAGGTAAAATAAATAGCAAAAGTAAATTATTTAAACAAAACAATATAAAAAAATAAAATAATATAAATAAAAAATAAAAAAATCCGGACAAAAACGGTGTCTACACTCCCATGAGGTCAGCTTATAAAAAAATATCGTAAATGATCAAAATATTACTTTTAAAATTTAATAAGTAAAAGTGAACAATTATGAAATAAAAATGATCATTGTGATAATTTACCCTATATTTATATATTTTTAAAATATAATTTTAGTTTTTGAAAACACAATTAGGATTAATAATATATATTGTAAAAAAAAAAATTCGTGTCGTCTAAAAACACAGTTAAGATTATTATTATTAGAAAATAATCCCATATTTGAAGTAAAAGCCATAGTGCTTACTGTTTGAGTGTAACGTAAGTTACATTCACAAGCTAACCCTAATTTAACGGTTGTAATATGGGAAGTAAGGATTGGGGTATGCTTTTCAAAGTTTGATTGAAATATTATTATTGTTTACCTGAAGAATTATTCTAACCAATACATATGCCTCTATATATTAGAAGATCAGATCAGTGGGACATGCAATTTTATTCATAGCTTTATATACACGCACACTTACACAGGGCAATGGTCATTTTTTCCTTTACTCGTAAGGAGATACTAAAACCACAATACATATGGACTATAGTACATTGAAGCCATGTACAAATCTCGGAATGGGAATTTTATTCATATCTTTCGACAAAGTTCATGAAAACTACATTCCCTAAAAAATTGGGCTCCAACTAATGCAATCTGTGCAACCTGTGTTTATAAATCACCTGCATTTTCACTTGAGGAGGTTGGAGACCGGAAAATCAAACTAGTTTATAAGCTTCTTTTTTCTTCTTTTTTTTTGGGTTCAACTAAAGACAGGTTCACAATAACAAGAGGGAAGAGGACACTTAAACTTCAAAAGCTCTATGCTCTAACCTTATCTCAACTTGGCCTATCCTACTGCTGAATTCATCCATGAACTAATTACGGTACTCAGTTCAAAGCTGTTATAACTTATTCTTCAATTCGTGGGCGCTTCAAGGGTTGCGAATTCGACTCAGAAACAAGGGTTTCAGCTTTCTCTAGATCACCAGTTTCTGGTGCCTTATGCTCTCCACAAACTTCTTGTGGACTTCTCTCCAACATGGACTTGGCATTAACAGTGCCTGTTCCGGAATTTACGTGATCCCTCTGGGAGGATTCCAGTTCACTTTTCGTAGGAGACTCATTGGTCGCATCTGAAGGAGCTGGTGGATTCTCCGGATTAGAAGATGATACCTTCAGTATGTCTAAACCTGACTTTTGCTTCTCAAACATCATTTGGAGGTTCCTCCCTTGTTCTTCAATTCGCAACTGCAAATTTCTTTGAATCTGTATAGAAAAGGAGAAACAAAAGATATGACCACTATACCAATAGACCCCTTAGAAAAATTTGAAACATCAATCAGTGAAGGGTTCATTCAGAACTTTGGCTATAATGGTGTACACCTCTACAAGGAACGATGGATTATATAATAAATCAGTCCACCATTTAAGCCAATGTCTCTTTAACATTAAAACAGCAAAAGCCAGTACCCAACTAACTATGTTCTAGACAGCCATACCAAATGCAAAAACCACATCACATATGATATGATAACTAGGAAGCAATAGCAAGACCCCCGTCCAAAATACCCATAACTGATAGGTAACACATGATATCCAACGGAAAGAATTACAAAGAAAACAGTTTCTTTATGCCCTTAATCCAATAGGAATATACAATCATATCCCCTCCATGTCCAAATACCCAGCAGATCACCCCCCAACTTCCCTGAAAATCTCATGGAAATAATATCACTTTTTCCAGGTTCAAAATCCAAAGCCATGAATCTGAATGAGAGCACACCAGAAACATAATTCTACTAGTCTAAAATGGAGAACGAAAGATTTTCCATTCTCTACTTCCTCTAAGGCAAATTTAAAGGTGGATTTATTTAATTCAGTTTTCTTTAATTAGAAAGTATGTTGCTTTTACGTCCCCAAATCCTTCCCGACACAAATTCATACCTCCAGCTGTTCATGCAACCGCTTTTGGACTTCCATCTGTAACCGCAAAGCTTCAGTGATCCCCATTCCCCTGTTCAAGTTCAGAATGTGAAATGCATTTAATATGATGAATGGTAAACTAAAGTACTAAACAAATAAACTGACACTTCATTAGACCTTTATTATCTGATATGCTTCTTGAGGATTCCATTTGGAGTTTTCTCTAATCAAATCTTTGCAAAATGAAATAAAATGGGAAAAGAAATGTTAAATTGCAGCTTCATCTCTCTATCAAATAGAATTACTAAAGAAAATTCATGGAATACATTTTTGTTTTTGAAGCATATTACAAACTTCCTTGTGTGAGAACTTGAACATGACCTAAGATTTGAATACACAAGTCGACATCAATTTAAGGGAACTAAAGTATGAACTAACGAGATGCACCAACCAACCTTTCACAGTTCCAGATCAGCATTTTCAATATGTTGAGTTTAACAAATGGTTCCAACATAGCATAGTTCATGTAAATTTTAGAAGACCCTTGTCTTGTGTCACTAACCATGTCGTTAAAAGGTGATATTTCCCAGCTAGGAATGGAAGCATCCAACTCATTCGTAACAATAAAGGTCCAAAAATTTACCAAGTATGCTTACTCATACTTTATTAAAGCACGCAAAGTATAAAAGCAGATGCTCAAACAATGTTAATAGCAATCATTGGCAACACATTAGAAATTACTTACGTTTTCAGGTCCAGAGATGAGATTTCTTCCATCGATGTCAACTTTTTCTCTGAGGATCCTGCAAGCAAGTCATTATTTCAGCTTTACAGCACCACCCCCCAATCACACACTGAGAATTTTTGAGGATCCAATATTAATAATATGAGTCAAATCTATTATAATCCAATCACCAAAGTAACTGAAATGACAAAGCACCTTTTGAGAAATAAGTAATAGATTTGGTACGGACGCGTACTTAACCAAATAAAGAAAACATATGCTTAACAAGTTTTATCATTTGGATAAAACTAACAATATCGAGGGGCAAAGAGAGTGCGAATGAAGAAAACATATATCAGCAGACAGATGAGATCCTGGAACTGGCATAACCAAATGGAGAAAATTTCTGTCTCCTCTTCATTAATGAGGAAAAGATGGGATATACATCTATCAAGTCTCACGAACCAATTCGTCCATACATTCACATAGACTGCGATAACTTTCATTATATCAGTATGGGATGTGAGATTATCGAGTGCAAGCTAGACATGCATCATAAATCTTCACTGAACAGCTAAAGATTCTGGAACCAATTAACTATCTTTTAAAACTGATATCCACTTCATTGATGAGGCCAAGTTGGACTATGTAGCTCCAAACTATCCATCTCAACCCCAATATAAGTCGCAAAGAGAAAACATTGAACAAATATCAAGGAATGAACACCCTTTTAAAAAATATATATGTTCCAATAAAGAAACAAAGGCAATAGATGCATGCTTGCAGAGAAGTAACACAGCTAAGGAAAAGGAACAAACTTAAAGGGAGATTAACATATACCTTCGGATGGCTCTGGTCTGTATCTAGCTGTTCTGTATTTCTGCAGTGAAGAGATCGGTTAAAGGGTAATCAAATCCAAGCCTTTGTGCACAAAATTAATATATATATATATATATATATATATATAATTAATAATTAATAGAAAGGTCTATGCACCTGCAAGTGACTTTTAACATGATAAATTGTCAAGCCTTCAACTTTCATAAGCTTCAACACGCCCTTTGGAGTAGCTCCTGTAAGTTGAAAATACCAAACAAATTAAAACATAACATATTTTGGAAAAAGTTTCATGAGAAATGAAAATAACCCACTTTCACAGCCTCCCAATTGGTTGACAGCTTCAGCAAAGGCTTCATGAAGTTCTGGTGTCCACCGCATTCGTGATTTTGCTGGGGCGTTATTTGCTGATGAATAGGGGTTTACAACACTTTGACTTTCTACAGATGGAGAAGGAAGTTGTTGATTCTGTACAGGTACGGTTGCGCATGGTTTTTCCCCCTGATATGCCGTCTGAAGCAACAAGAAGGAAGTATAAATCAAAGATAATAAATGCCAAAGGTCTCAAGTTCATCTGGTTATCTTCCATGGCATGAAAGCATCCACACCTTTGGTTCCAGATTCGTAACATTGTCAACAAGAAGCTCATTCCAATTGGAGGCCAATGCATCATCACCAGTGATAAGCTGGTCTGCCCATTCCTGCCAATAATTTTGTTTTCCAAAGTCATCAGATCTCATAATACCACTACAGCTTCTGTTTTCAAATTGACTGGTCAGGAAAGAGATGCTTACAGGAAAATCAAGAAAATCAGGATCTGAACACCAAGAACCACTATTTTCTTTGTTGCAGTGACTTGGTATTGTAGATTGAGGCAACAGTGAATTTGACGATTGTGCTAATGGCAATACTGCAGTATTAGTTGGCGACTGAGAAATGAAAGGAGAATTTCTTGAATGCTTTTCAGTTGGTAATGCAGATGAGTAATGAATATCACTTGAAAATCCAGGCGATGATGAAAATATGTGACCAACCATCCCATTATTGGTGGGAAGACGAGTTGCATGGGCCAAAGGCCTAATAATCAGTTCCCTTTCTGCATGTGCCTGTTGGGGGAAATTTAGATATGACTCTTCCAGATGTGTTGAAAGGGCGGGTAAAGATGATGACAGACCTCCAGATACCCCATGGCTAGTAAGCTGACTTGCACCTGATCTCTGAATGGATAAAGCAGGTCGTGCCTCCATAGCTGTGCTTAAATTAAAAAAGATGGTGTCGATTGTTTGGTCAATGAATATTTAGCTTAATTGGCAGAGTTCGCACTGTTTCAATCAAATCAAGGAGCTATAGAAAGCATCCAATAAACCAAGCCAGCAAATTCATAATTTATGAACCATTCAATTTATGTCAAAATACTAGATTTTTTTTCACACACAAAAACCTGGATTTTTTGCATATAATCATCATATACGAAATTCCAAATACAAAAAAAAATGATAAGCGAGAAAAATAAAACATTAAAAAACAAAAAAATTGAAAAATGCAAATTTCACCCAAAAATATTATACATAAATCCCAACATGCAAAGCATCAATATGCCAAAAAAAACAGGGACAACCCAGTTCAATTACAACCTTAAACATCTCCAACAACCACCCGAATTAACAAAAACTTCATTAAACATAAAAATAAGAACTTTACCTCAAAAAGTGCCAAATTGAACGAAAACAAGCAAACGGGTAAATCGATTCTTACCCAAAACCTCAATAGAAACCTCACGGGATCGAAACCCACCAAACAGAATCGAATCCGAAATTTGGGTCACAGCAAGAAAGATGGATTGTGGGGGAAATTATTCAGGAATCAAAAAGCGGGGGTTTTTCCAAAGTAGCGTCACCAGCGTGGGCAAGAACGGTGACGAAGTGCGATTTTGCATCCTCTATTGGCCCTTTCTGCCTCTGTAGCTAATAAGAAATAGAACAGTAAAGGCTCACGAGCGTTTCGTGGCGCGTGCAATGCAACTTCACTGAATAAGCCGCGGAATTTGCTGCGATGGAAAGATGGCACGTCGGCGTTAATATTTTTCTTATGATTAGGAAAGTGGTCGTTCTCAGTGGCAGAAATGTGAGGCCCTCCGCATTTTCTTTCTCTCTCTTTTTGTTTTAAATTAAATTTTAAATAAGACAAAAATTCATTTTAAATGTTATTTTAAAAAATCCGTTTCTTTTTTATTAGTATTTTAGAGGGGATTAACCACGAATGATTATTTATATATGTATTTTATTTAATTTTGATCATAAATTTCAAAAACATAATATAAAATCATTTTTGTTTTTATTTAATTAAGAAGTGTCATCTTAAGTTAATTATCACTAACAACAGTTTCGTTTTTATTTAATTAAGAAGTGTCATATTGAGTTAATTATCACTAACAACAGTTAAATATTTTGATATAATCACACATTCGATTTATATTATTTATAGAGAAAATAACCTCAGTGAGTGAAAATGTCTTGTAATATACGATTTTGACCAACTTTTTTTAGATTTGTCAAAATGACCAAGTAAATCGTAATGCGATCGATAATTCGCAACGCGATCTCCGGTATCGCAAATCAATTTCCAGATTCGCAACGCGATAGTCGAAGTTCGCATTGCGATTTATTCCAAATTCGTTGCGATAGGCGAAGTTCGCGTTGCGATTCATTCCAAATTCGTTGCGATAGTCCAAATATTGCATTTGTTTCTTAAGAATTTTCTCTAAAAATATAGAATTCGCGCGGACGTGTCGAAGACACGTATTACCACGACCACAACCACGACCACGACCACGACCCGAGACAGGACGGGACGACGGCGGCAGCGGCGCGCAAGAGTCTCCCTTGTTCTCTATCACTCAACAAGGAAGTGGGAAAACCAAGTCTTAAATACCATTCCCAATAGTGTTTCCAATACTATGTGGGATTGAGCATTACCAACAGTTGTTTCAAATACCATTACCTTCATTGTCTGTAAGAGTTTAATTTTGAAACTAAAAAAATATTTATTCGAATAAATAACTTACCCTTTGAGGACTTTGATGGAAGAAAAATATTAACCAAACAAATGCAAAGGAGACAATGATGGAAGTTTTCAACTGAGGATTTTACGAAAACTAGTTGATAATGACACAAAGGAAACATATCGAGTTGTTTGGTCATCATCTACTCTTTACAAGTAAGTCATTTGAACACTATAAGAACCCGAATCAGAGTTAGTTTTAGCAATTACTTCATTTATGATAAAGTCCTCAAAGGGTAAGTTATTTATTCGAATAAATATTTTTTTAGTTTCAAAATTAAACTCTTACAACAATGAAGGTAATGGTATTGGAAACAAGTGTTTGTAATGCTCAATCCCACATAGTCTTGAAAACACTATTGGGAATGGTATTTAAGGCTTGGCTTTCCCACTTCCTTGTTGAGTGATAGAGAACAAGGGGGACTCTCGCGCGCCGCCGCCGTCGTCCCGTCCCGTCCCGGGTCGTGTCGGGTCGGGTCGGGTCGTGGTCGTGGTCGTGGTAATACGTGTCTTCGACACGTCCGCGCGAATTCTATCTTTTTAGAGAAAATTCTTAAGAAACAAATGCAATATTTGGACTGTTGAAAACATTTTGATATTTCGATATAACAAATTAAGTTAAATGAATTTTAAGATTTTTTAAAATGATTTTTTAAGTATATTCGATATAATTATTCGAATATCAAAACATTACTCAAAATATTTCAAAAATCATTTTTAATCCTTACTTAAGTGTAAAATTAAGTTTTAATCTTAAAACAATTTCAAAATAATCTTTCAAAGTATTTCAAACCATTTCAAAGCCAAAAATTCCAGATTGCTCAGAGGGAACCGATTCCCCCCCAAGGGGGTATCGATTCCCCCCTGAATGGTTTGGCTCTGAGATTTCCAGAATGCTCGGAGGGAATCGATTTCCCCATAGGGGGTACCGATTCCCCCTGTTCAACGGTCGAAATATTTGAATTTTACACTTAGGGAACCGATTCCCTATGAGGGGGAACCGATTTTCCCCACGCTCTAAGCTGTTTTATTAATTGTTTTCATACTAAAACGGCTATATTATCTTCATTAATTATCCCCAACGTTCAGAAGTGATTCAAGGTGTATTTAAACAAGTTCTGAAGCCCTTGATCAATAAGAAATCATAGAGAAACAAGAGAGAAAGCATCAAACACCAAGTTTGTGCAAATCAAGCCAATTTTCCTTTCAATATTCATTTTGCTTTCAAGAACACCATTTGTGCTCATTTATAATTATCTTTGAGTATTCTTTTCTTGTTCTAGAATTGTGCAAACATCTTACCTTGTGATGTTTTCCTTGTAAGTTTGCAAATTTGTAATCTTCTCTTTGGGAAAAGAGTGTTCTCAAGAATTGGGGTATATTCTTGAGGGTATTGTAAGGTTATCTCTTTGGCCTCAAAAGAAAGAACAAATTAGTGAATTTGTTGGAAAATCCTTAGTGTGGATAGCTAAGGTAGTGGACGTAGACTTTGATTGAGAAAGTCGAACCACTCTAAATCGCTGTGCAAATCTTTTCAATTTTCTGCAAAAGCTTCCACCGAATTTTTAATTGCCAATTCACCCCCTCTTGGCTAATTTCGTCGATCGATTAACTCAACAATTGGTATCAGAGCCTAACTCATTTGAAGGTTTAATCGCCTCTTGAGTCGATTCGGGAAGAGTTATATCGATTATCAAAGTCATCAATAGCCTCCGCTTCAAACTTCGACTCCGGTCTCGATTCGATGCCTGTCAACAAGCCTCCTTTCTTCAATGGAGCTAACTATGCCTATTGGAAGAATAGAATGATGTACTTCATTCAAGAAAGTGACATGGGAGCATGGAATGCAGTAGAAGAAGGATACATCAAACCTCTCACTCATCCAAGGCTGTGGAGTGAAGGAGAGACAAGAATGTTCCAGCTCAACTCCAAAGCCATCCATATCATTTTTTGTGCTCTTGGACCAGATGAATACGGAAGAGTTTCATCGTGTACAACCGCCAAAGAAATATGGGACAAACTTCAAGTCACTTATGAAAGTACCGATGAGGTAAAGAAATCTAAAATTAGTATTCTAACGCATAGCTATGAAAATTTCAGGATGAAACCAAATGAAGATATCAAAGCTATGACGGATAGATTTTCAACGATTGTCAATGGTCTCAAATCATATGGAGAGATCATTTCAAATGAAAAGCTTGTGAGGAAGTTAGTCTACTCCCTCCCAAAATCGTGGCAATCAAAGAAGACGGCAATCATCGAGTCTAAGGACTTAACGTCCTTAACTCTTGAAGAGCTAATTGGGTCACTCCTCACTCATGAAATGATGCTCGAAGATGAGGTGGACCTCGACAAAATTGACGAGACACCAAAGGAGAAGGAGAAGAAGAAAAACATTGGAGTTGCTCTCAAATCCACAAAAGATGAGAGTGATTCGAATAACGATGACGATGACGAGGAAATGACATTGTTTGCCAAACGGTTCAGAAAAATGATGAGACCTTATCGAGGAAGAAAATTCAAACGAAATGAAGGTCTCAAAAATGAACCGAAAGAGAAGGACCCAATCATTTGCTGCGAATGCAAAAAGCCAGGGCATGTTAAATATGATTGCCCACAATTGAAGAAAAAGGGTCAATCAAAGAATAAGCACAAGGCTCATGTGGCTACATGGAGCGATGAAGAAAGTTCCGATGAAGAGGAACAAGAAGTAGCTAACTTGTGCTTGATGGCATTTGAGGAAGATTCTATGGTAACCTCTAACTCATCCGATTTTGATGATTTATCCTATGATGAGTTATTAGAGGAATATAATGGGTTGGCTTCGGATTATGAGAAATTATTTTTAAAATATAAAAATGATGTTTCAAAATTGAAAAATGAAAACAAACTCATATCCAAAACCAACAACGATCTTGAAAGTAAAATCAAAGACTTGCAAATCAAACTATAAGAGTTTGAAAAGAAAAATTTAGATTTGCAAAATTTACTTTCAAAGATCAATGATGATCATCAAAAGAAAATTGATGATCTTAAAACTTCTTTTGATAAAGTTGGAACAAAACTTTTTGAAAAAGGTGGAAATTCAAAATCCAACTTTGTTAGAAAAAGTTTTAGAAACTACAATCATAGAGGTCCCCAAAGAACCTCTAATGGAAAAATCGTTAGAAGTATGTGGGTTCCTAAAGAACTCATTACTACTAAAAATAAAAATATCCTACACAAATGGATACCTAAGGGGACTAGGATTTTGGAAACTAATGAATATGGACCCAAAAGAATTTGGGTACCAAAAATCAAAAGTTAATCTATGTTTGTAGGGAAAGGAGCATTGCTACAAGGCACGGGAAACAAATTCAAATTCATGGTACCTTGATAGTGGATGCTCAAGACATATGACCGGAGACAAAAGCCGGTTCATTGAGCTTAACGCCAAAAATGGAGGAGAAGTGACTTTTGGAGACAATTCAAAAGGTCACATTGAAGGTATTGGTACAATAGGTAATACCTCTTCCATACAAATTAAGAATGTTTTATATGTGAATGGATTAAAGCATAATCTATTGAGTATTAGTCAATTATGCGATAAAGGATTCAATGTCTTATTTGAAATTAATGGTTGTAAAGTCATTGACATTGCATCTAATCGGATTATGCTTGTTGGTCATAGAATAGGGAACATTTACATGGTGCATTTAGATTCTTTTGATATGACTAATTTATGCCTAGTTGCTAATGAACATGATAGTTGGTTATGGCATAGGAGACTAGGACATGCTAGTATGAGTGTTTTGCAACGGCTAATTCAAGGTGATTTAGTTCGAGGGTTGCCTAAGCTTAAATTTGATAATGATAAAATTTGTGATGCTTGTGCTA